ATAAATTTTCATTTAAAAAATGGCCTCGAGCTCATTATAAAATTGTTGAATATAATTATTAAAAAGGCCAAAAAAATAACAAAAAACAAATAACTTAAGGACGAGCACACCTAAAAAGTTAAGCATTCTAAAAATAGAATTATTAGCACAAACCAACAAAACCAACAACCACATGATCAAGTGAATTGCAGCGGAATAGCTGCGCTTGATTGTGTTGGCATAACAAAAATGAAAAATAGTGGAAATAAGCAAACGATAATTTACAAGGCGTCTTAGCACGGTGCATAGGCAACTGGCTGAGTCAGTGGGATCGTCGGTTCGAATCCTACTGAAAGAAGTCTGATGAGGAAATGTGGTGATTTCCGAAATAGCTATCACTTCTACCATTTTTCAAATTATTGTTGCTTTTCCACAATAAATTTTCATTTAAAAAATGGCCTCGAGCTCATTATAAAATTGTTCAATATAATTAAAGATTATCTTTAATTTCTGCAAGGTCCAATGTACCACCTTTCCTTAAAAAATAAAAAATTATAAAAATCGGTTAACGTGGTCCAAAGTTATGCGGTAGCATACATAAAAAAAAAATAAAGTGAAATAAAAATAAAATAAAAATATTCCGACGAATTGATGACCTTCTCCTTTTTTTTGAGGTCGGTTAAAAAATACCTCCGAAAAGCGGATTTTTTCTAAATAAAATAGGTTTTTAGAAATATCTCAAATACAATACATTTTATAATTCCGGTGGAAAACGAGCAACTTTTTTGGTGATGCACTCTAATATATTTGTATCTATGTATATCGTTACTACATGCATATATACATCAAAAATCCCTGCAAACATTTGGAGTCATAAATGAGTCTTTAAGGAGTCCCATTTCGGAGCCTTTGTGCTCATAATGAGCTCATTTAAGAGTCCGAAATGAGGGTGTTTCCCTTCCTGCGAAGGTCGACCTATATGAGCTTAAATTCATACATCAAATGAGCCTCAATATGAGTCATATTGGACTCTTATTGGCCTCATATACGGCTCATTTTGAACTCTTTTTGAAGCTCTTAAATGACTCTTATTGGCCTCATAAATGCCTATTTTCGGAGTCTCATTGTATGCTGTTCTGTGACTCTTATTGGCTTTATTCTTCAACTCTCTAAATAAACTTACTTTAGAGCCATCTTAGCAAGGAAATCATTTCAAATACTGTTGCATATTTATATACATACCTCTGCGCATACACATATATATGTACATATGTATATTGCAGCATACATGTAATAGCAGTTGCTGCAGCTAAATTTTGTTTATTTTTCCTTCCTAATTATTTTTCATATCTGTATAAACAAGTTTAGATATAAATTTCTAGTCGTTATTGTTTTTATACTGGCACAAAGTGCTGGCTCATAACTTGGATCATATATGACTCCCATGATACAAAAAAGAAGGTAGTTCTATTTAATGACATTCGTTGTTGTTGCTAACCATTTGACTTTTAATAAAATTATGACATTTCATAAAATTCATGCTACCTGATCACCAGAGATAATATTTTTTTTTTTTTGTAAAAGTAAACAAAAATGTATGAAAATGAGTGAAGTTTAGTGAAGTTATTGAACATATATGAAAGGAGGGCTGCATGACCATCCGTCACTTCTCGAATTCAAGTACAGATTTCGATCATACCTTCTAGGTAATTTTTTAACCACTTAAAGAAATTATTGTTGTTGTCATAAAGATTCTAAAATGTATGCATGAACTTTATTAGGGCGAAACGAAACTATTTTGAGCACGGAAACAAATGTTGAGTCTTCAAGTGAAGTAATGTTTAAATTTGAAGAGGAGTTGCTCAGTGAAAATGTTTTCAAACCACTTAACGATATTGAAATATTCGCAGAAGAAGAACTCGAGGTAAACTCCTTACCCTTTCGTTTTTATTTGATTTCTAATTTTTTTAAGTAGCTCGCAGAAGAGCATGAAGCAGAAGATTTCATCAGTCCACTCAAAGATGTGGAATATGATGGACTTGAAAATTTTGCCGGCTACATAATTTCGAAAATGGGGTTGGCAAAACTAGGCTTCAGGACGCATGAAGAAAGTGATCAAAATTATACGTATGTTAACTGTTTATCGGAGGGCGGTCTGTACAAGCCTAATTCAAGTTTTTTGCATACATTGGAAATTTTGAATTCAAAATTTGTTGAAATTAATGGTGATTCGCTAACCACAAAGCCAAAATTTTTGCAAAATCTGATGAGAAATTTAAAAGTAAATTTGGACCAAAATATTATAAAAAGATTTTATTTGGGAAGAACATTCTTTAGAATTCGATTTTTAAATCGCAAGATTAAAGAAACGAAAATTGTATATCAAAATAAGAAAATGAAAAAAATAACAACATAATGCACTAATGGTTTTTATTATAAAATAAAAAGAATAATTACAATGTAACAGTTTACATTTTATATATTTTTAATAAAAGAGGGGCAAACCACGTAAGTAAAAAAATATCAAGTACTGATTGTGAGTTTTGATTTGAAATATTCTCACATTGGTAAAAATATGGGAAAGAAAATACTCCGATGTATTGTTTTAATATTATCAAAGTGGCCGTTGATAATACTGACAATTTATGAAACTTCAAAAAATTTTATTATCCGTCAAAAGTTGTTTATTGAAACTACCTTCTTTTTTTATCATGTATGACTCCTAAAAGATTCATATAAGAGTAAAAAAATTTTTGTTTTTGAAACTCATACTTCTTACCTACCTAGGACTCCTTTCCGACTCATATATTCTGAGCGCTCAGAATATGTTTGCGGGGATATTCCACTTTCACTTAACAGCTTTCGGGTAAAAATTTTCAATTAAATACTACAATTTTATTACATGTTTTACAAATTGGTTATTTGCTTAAAATATTGCGAATTCAATTTTACTCGCAAAATATTCCGCCAACGCTTTATTCAATTTGAGTAATAAAGAGAAATTTAGCGCGGATTTAAGCGAATAAAAAATGTGCTTGGAATTGATTTATTATGAAAATAGCGGAAATTACCAACACTAGCGTGAATTTATTTCCGATTTTTTGTTGCTTCATTTTGCTTTGTTTTGTTTTGTTTTGGCTTTCGTATAACTCACAGCTATTAGCTGGAATTTCAATTAAGCAAAATTCATTGATAAAAACATACGTATTGCAATTGCATTGATGTGCATACCTGCAAATCAAATATTCCGCAAAACTAATAGCACCAAAAACGTAGTTATAAATTTTTAAGCGCCTAAGCTACCAAAAAAGCCAAACAAATTAGTATTAGCATAGATTTGAAAAAAAAGAGAATAATAAAGCCTTTTTATCGCATCGCGAAATCGGATCTGTTGATGTTGATGCTAGTTATTCGAAAGCCGCAGATTAATTGCCACTTAGTCATTGTTACTGTCAATGGCTGTTTGAGACCGCAACAAAATATGGATGAATTGTACGGTTATCTATCACGGTCAGTCAGTCAATTAGTTATGAATGGCCGAAAATAGCCACCCAGTGGCTGGATTCCGCTTCACTCCATTCTATTACTGCCTTTGTTTGGTTTTGGCGTGTAATTTGACATCTTTGCACGCATTTAGATACCTTGATTATAAGGGTTGCAAATTTTATGACTTTTACAAGTGATTGGGGTTAATGTGACATTTTAGTGGTGCCTTTTTCGGGATTTAATTTTGTCAGCATTCCAGCGCTGACATTTTCAAGGGACAGTTTTTGACACATGTTTTAATATTTGTGTTGAAGGAACAGCTTAAGTGATTTTAGACGTCCCTATTTTAGAGAGAAAATGATGAAAAAAAATACTTCGCATCTACCAGCCAAATTCATTGACTTAATATCTCATTTTTGAAACTCGAAAATGCCTTCGCGTTTTATATATATATGTTTTATGTATATCAGTTAAATAGATATGACTACTCGAAAATATGTCAACCCTAATCAAATGAATTTGCAAACTAAAACTTTCATAAAACTCTTTCGTTTAACACTCATATTTAAATATATGACATACATTATCTTGTGTATACGTTGAGTAAATTCGGCTTTTAAACCCTATTCATAATTTTTTTTTTTAACTTGAATCTTTTAAAATCTCTTTCGTCTTACTTGGTATACAAATTTCAATTAATTGATGAATTAAGTTAAATCCGAATATTCCAAATACGTGGCAACATTTTTAAATACAGTTCAGAAATAAAGTCATCCCAAACCCATTTCAATTGATAGCCATTTTTTATTATTCCTTTAACTTATTTAGTAAGTTGAATATAGCTTTTTGAATAGGTGGCAATCCTCTTCAGATACCCTAAAAATATTCTAACTAAATGTTCAAACTGAAGAGATCTTTATACAATTATTTTGTGGAACGAAAAATGGCACTGAAGATGGCACAACGCCGAAACCGGTTTGCCTCCAAACCAAATTCGACAAGGGATGACGGAAATTCGTTCCAAAATACATCATACACCCACGCTGTCAGAAACAACAACAACGAAAAAGGAAAAATCTTTATACACTTTCGTATGACACTCATATTTTAATATTTGATAAATATAACTCGTGCTTACTTTAATTAAATTCAACTTTTTCAACAGATGGCAACCACCACAAAACTATTTTCAAACCAAAACCTTCTAATCCTCTTTCATCGGAGACATATTTCAAATACATAACTGCCGCAATTCATGTTGAATTTAATTTTTTAAACATGTGGCAACACT